ATAAATTTGAGTCATAACAGACGCGAAATATAACTCAATCAAACGTACTTTTCGTCGAGCAACGAAATTTTCAGTATCGGAGCATTTAATATTACATGACATGTTTGTTTACGTCTCATCTGTTACGTCAAAGATGGATTCCGTCACTTGTAAAATTATTTATTTCTAAGTGTGTAGGGTCCAGGTGTGGGTACCTCCCTGGCATCGGTAGCATTGGTGCTCAGCACGGAAAACAAGTTCGACGGAAAACAAATCAAGAAAAAAAAAATGGCAAAATTTTTGCAAAAATGTGAATGATTGCCCATAACACATCTGTGTGTTGAAATACCTGGAAATCTTAATAAAGTCAACGAAAAGAACCTGTCAATGTTACTTAGGACCTAATGAAATGTTCAGGTTGATTTGACCTGGAATTGGTCAGTTCTTATTTTTGTTTTTTTTCAAACCGGTTAAAACAAAACAAAGCTTTACGAAGCTGACAGACTTCAAAACAATTTTTGAAATTCTCGACCAACAATTGAAAAGGGCCCATCAGCTTTGGTAAACAAGACTTTGTAAGCCATTTCCGCGCAAACCGAAGATCGCCCACGCAAATGAATGGCTTCATCGTGTAGGGGGAACTTTCCCCCTACCCGACGATGCTATTGGTTTGCGTTGCTCTTTTCAATTTTGGTCGATAATTAATTGGGTTGTTTGGGGTATTGAGGTAAATACACGTAATCTGTACTAAAAGTGGAGCCAAAATCCAAAATTTCATCAGTTTTGGTGCACTGGAACAATTTTAAATAAGTGCGATTACATTTGCAAAAAATCACAATCTTAGCGCCCCTTGGTGGGATTTTTTATGGGAGCAAGCTGTCAACTAATAGATTAGCGTCAAAAATTAAAAATTTAAATCTTGATTTTAAAATTAAGATGACAGTCTATGGGGTCGGTAAAAATATCGTTGTACTCAGGAAACAAAGCTCTTTCAGTTGATGTATAAAAACCACCATGTTTTTCGAAATTAAACAACCCAATCGGATCACTAATCCAAAACTGTGTCATATAGCTGCACAATTGGAATGGACAATACAGTACCGGACAAAAGTACACTTAATTCTATTTATATGCGATTTTTCTACGCCTCTATTTCTTATCGTATGAACCCAATTGAATAAAATTTATCTTAAAAAATATAAAACGAAGGTTTCAAACTATTTTTCCCTTCCTACATGATGGCTAAATTGAAGAAAAAAAACAATCGCGTAAAAACAGAATTGAACAGTGTATATCAGCTTGCAATTTTATTTTTTCTCTTTAAATAAAAAGTTGAAAAATGTCCCGAGCGATCATGAAATTTACTGAAATCTCGGCTACTGTTTGTTCAGGTATTCAATTATGGGTATAATTATGAGATTGATTGACAGTATTTGTATGAAATAAATCAAATCGTCTATCTTTGATACATCCTTTATAAAATTAAAATTCAAATATCAGTAGGTTTTCTATATTATGCTTGTTTAGATTTATATGCCTTTGGTTTTATTAAAATTTGATTTGTTCGAACAAAAATTATAACATATGAGATGCCATACTTTTGTCCTCAAAGTAAAAACCCAGTACGGACAATAGTATATCACGTTGTCTTTTGTTTCAGATGCACACTACGAAAAAGACGTGTACATTTCGGTTCCCTGAGACCGACACATGTAAGCGGCCCTCTTGACATAAGAATCAGTTGAAAGAAACGAGAAAACCAATTCAATCAAACGTTCTCTTCGTGGAGTTGCTTATCATTCGGTTTGAGAACACTTAATTTCACATGAAATGTTTGTTTATGTTCCATGATTTACATCCAATATGGATTACGTCTCGTGTAAAAGTAGTTATTTCTAAGTGTGTGCTTAACAAAATCAAACTGTTTTCGTACCTACTAAACGGATTTTAGTAAAACCAAAAGTATATAAAAAGTTCATGTTTTGCCTACAAATCAGGAAAATTTCAGCTTATTTGGAATATGGTTAACCACCCCATTTTCGGCCTATTAAGCACAACCCGCACTTAATATTTCTTAATCTTGCGTAGTTTAGCACCAAACGGAATGTTATTATTACTGATGGCTTCGAAATTTACCTTTCCGTATGTACCGGAATATTTGATAAAAAAAAATCCATTCGTTGAGATATTGTTAAAAGTCTAACACTGCTTATTGACTCCAAACTCGGCCTACGGATTCTAAACTCGGCCTAACGCATTGAAACGCCAATGAATTTATTTCGGCCTATCGGATGATGATAAAAATTGATTCGATCGGAGCGCTTCATTTGTTTTTTGATAATATTGGGTGGAAACATTCATATCACGCGTTCCTATTGACTTCGTTCGGTAGCATTTGAACTAAAGTATCGTACCAAACGCATAATTTTCCTGTTAACACTGAAATCATGGATTTATTTGATGTGTTCTGCTTGATGGCCCAAAATGGGTGCTTAGGTCGAAGTAGTTCCCTACCCTATTGTACTTCAAGAAAATACAGATTTTAAAAAGGATACTACAATAAGAGGCGCATTTATTCAATTGCCCATACTTCATACAAGTTATATCGATACATCTTTAACTCTTGGATATTACCAGCATCCATGATTTCAATATATTTCATGTACAGTTACAATAACTAACTTATGTTGGATTAGTTCGGAATAGTGTGTCAAATAATTTTAAAATAGCATTAAAGACATTCGGCTCCGCAAATTTTTCACCAAATAAGAATATTTAAAAAAAAAAACTTTGAAAAAGATCATCAATAAATTAAAAAGTTGCAACAGAATATTCAAAAGTTACAACACAAAAAAACGTGATGCCATAGAAAGCCCATGAGTGTTCTCTAAACAGTTGAAAAATGTTCAATTAATCGCCTAAAAGCTGCAATAAAATAAAACAAAATCTGCACTTGAAATGATGTAGTTCCCTTAAATAAAATTAAAAAGTGAACAGTAAATAAATTAACGACCAAACCATCAACAATTTCCATTTTTTTAAATAGTGCATTGAAATACGTCAAATTTAAATCAATTTTATTGGAATATTTTTTTATTACAAAAAAGTGCTTAGTGGTTTAATATGTTCAAGGAATTTTATTAATTCTGTAGGTAGGTATAGATTCTGATTTACCCAAAGCAATATTTCAATACGCATTAAGTAGCAAGTTGGTTGGCTCTCAGATCCCCTAGTCGATAAAGGCACAACGCTACAAAGCCGGACGCGACTGGTTCAATTCCCAGTCCGGTCGAGGAATTCTTTCGGGTTGGAAATTATCTTGACTTCCCTGGGGCATAGAGTAACACAGTGCTTGCCACACAATATAAAAACTCAGGCATTGGTTGGCATAGAAAGCTCTCAATTAATAACTGTGGAAGTGCATCAAGAATACTAAGTTGAAATTCGATAAAACGCTCCTAAAAGAAGCGTAAAAACCTAGAAGAAAAAGGTTGGCTCTCTACTCTCACATGAATGACTACACAATATTCGGTCTTCATGCTATCTTTAAGAAGCATCCTAAATTTTCGAACTAATAGCAGCAAATCAATCTTTCTGCCTTGAATTTCGGTTCGCAACTCACAAAACTTAAGCGTTAAACCAATTTAAACCTACTGGGGTGTGCACTTGCAATACCGAATCAAATCCAAGAGAAGGAAAACACACCTGCAATTACGTACCCCAACAACAACAACAACAACAACAACAACAACAACAACAACAACAACAACAACAACAACAACAACAACAACAACAACAACAACAACAACACCTACAGCTTCGGGAGGAAGTATCAAATTAAACGCCACTTCACTGGAGAACTTCTCAAATGGTGTTTCCCTCTTCTGATTCTCGAAATCGCATTCAAATCCAATTCCAATCACTTACTTCATAGCCGTTTGATACTGACTGCACGCGCGCGCTTGGTTAGAGATATTCTGCCAGTCATCAGATCAGACTGGAGCTCGGAGGCCCCACAGACAGCAAAGCAGATGTGTATTTACCGGCAGTCATGCACAACAGTTCCATTCCGCAAACGGATCTATTTGGAAAGGTTCTTGAACTGCTCGGCTCTCGCTCTTCGTTCCCGGTAATGAGTTGCAATTTCTGGACCTCCAATAGGCTCAATCCTGCTGACTCTTAATCGAGCACAAAGCTTGGGCTCGAAACGTGAGAAAAAGTTTCCTGCTTCGGTCGAGGTAGGTTATTGAAACCACGACTCCCAGCAGTACTGCTGCTGGCACACACACACTCGCACCAAGCAAAGGAGTGGAGGTACCTACATAATAATAAAAATCTGAATCTAAAAATGGTAATGTTGTTTTGTGTACACACTTTGGCGATGCATACGGGCAGATAAGACACGTTTTCTCCCGGGTTCCGAGTGGAAGAAAGCAAACCCACCGATCAACGCGACGGCGACGGGAGAAAGAAGCAGGTAGAAAACCACGAAACCGAAAACCGGAATATGATCTTTTTCTGAAGAACCAACAACCGGGCGGCGGGAACCCTTGGGCGAGAAACTTGATTTTTTTTTTGTTCCAGTACGGTGTTGGTACTGTGCACTTCCTTCTCCGACGTCATCAGCATCGCCACCGCCGCCGCCGTCGTCGTCTTCTGTCCAAAGGAGAGATGGTGCAAGTGCGCGTTTACTCTCACTTGAGGCAGTTTTGTATGGTGTGGTGCAGACACGATGCACCTCGATGTACATCTTGGGCACTGACCAAGCTCCGTTCGACCATGCAGTCAGGACGGGTGTGTCAGGTCAAGATTGGTTTTGATGGTCTTTTTTCATTTCGTTATTTTTCTTTATTTTTGATGAATTGAAATTCACTTTTTTCCATGTTTTCGCTTTCAATTATGAGCCTCCTGGGAAGGAAACCAACGGAAACAGGTTCGACTGTCTAAGGCAGCTTTGCTGAGCCTAGGGGAGAGTTAAAATTAATGTCATTTGTTCGATGAAAATGGAACAGTATTACAATTTAGCTGAAAGCATAATGCTACAGGGTTTAAATCAGTTAGATGTTAATTAAATGTTGCTAAATGTGGAACGGTGTTTTGCAACAATTTTTGGTGATACATCGGAACCCTACCCAAGTAACATTAAAAGTGTTATCGGGGGTTTTTAACCATTTTTCTAGTACAAATCAGAACTCTTGTAAAACCAAAATTGTTACATGGGAACTGTTGATTTAATTTTTTTATGTTAACGAATTTCAATCTGGCATGGTAAACGTTATCAACATCGTTTGAAAAATGTATGTACATTTCTGCGTTACACAGCGCAAACTTAGCTAAATTTCATAAAACGAATATCATAAATAATTATGCAAGATTCTCAGCATATTTCAGTATAGAAATTTTTAATTTTTCCGGAATAATTCTATTTAAAATTCGCTGAAATTCTCCTTATAATTCTCGTGCAGTTCACCTCCTTGTACCCTGAAAATAAAATTTCGTTTATACAACGAAATCGCTCGTTTGTTCTACGAATTTATTCGTTTGTTTTCTGCAACGAAATGGATTTGTAAATTGTATAAAGCTAATTTCGTTAGAACTGCCACACTCGCTATCGCTACACCCAACCAGCGGGCCATAAGTGTTGGTTGTGGAGATCGAAAAATGTGGAATGTGTTAGTGAGGATGGATAAAAATAACTTCTTTTTTTTTTCTTTGGTTTGTTTTACGTCGATCTTGTTTTCCGTGCTGAGCAGAATGTTATGTCTCAGAACATCCCGGCGGCGCCGACTAGGATTGAACCCAGGCCTGCTGGGGTGAGAGGTAATCACGCTTACCACTACAACACCGGTGCCGTTGAAAAAAAATAACTACATCATTGGAAGAAATAAACATAACAAAAACAAATTAAAAAAGGGTTCACACCAGACTAGCACCATGAACCTTGCGTTGGTCAGATCTGTGCCTTATCCATCGCTCTACCTGTGCTACGAAAAAGGGAAAAGCTAAAAGCAAATAAGAAGTACTCGATTTTTTCGATTTCGATTTCGTTTTGTTTTTTTCTGCTGCTTGCATGTATTTTTTTTTTCCTCTGACATAAAACCGTATTTTGATTTATAATGGTAGCTTACATTAATTGGTCAAACCGATAATATTTCAAAAAACAAGTATCCCATCTCCAACACACAATCAGCACTTTAGGAGATAATCAGCGAAGTTGTTGGTTTGCGCCAGATGACAAGAAACGCCTTCAAGTTCGAGTTAAAACTCTCTTAGACTTCTTCCTAAAACTCCGTTTGAAATTTTCTCTGAGCTACGTAAGACGGGGTGACATTGAGCCTAGGGGGTGACATTGGAGTAAAATTGAAAAATGTTTATTGATGGAAATAATGTTTCTTGAACTCCTGGAGTAAAGTGTAAATTACATTACCGAGTTTATTTATTTAAATAGTTCTGTGACGTAAAATGTGGGGCCTCCCTTAGCTCAGTCGGTAAAGGCGCAGCTACAAAGCAAGACCATGCTGGAGGTGGCTGGGTTCAATTCCCGGTCCGGTCTAGGAATTTTTCGGGTTGGAAAATGTCTCGACTTCCCTGGGCATAAAAGTATGATTGGATTTTCCACACAATTATACCAATGCAAAAATGGTACAGGCATCGAAAGCTCTCAATTAATAACTGTGGAAGTGCATAATATGCAATATGCAATAAGCTTGAAATGCGAAGAAGAAGAAGAAGAAGAAGAAGAAGAAGAAGAAGAAAAAGTGGCGTAAAATGTCATGAATAGTTACAAAAAACAAGTTTTTAACAATGTCTACATGCGAACAAAAGTTTGAAAAGGCAACAAAGAAAACTGCCTAAAAACTTTTAAACTTCTCTATAGTTTCTCAAATCTTCTATTAGGTTCCTACAATTGCCTTGAAGTTAATTAAACTGTCCTGTGGTTCTCTGATCATCCCTGATGATATAGAAGCTAAATTAAAGTTCTCACAATTATCCTGAAGTTCATGGTGCTGCCATTAGTTTAATTGAACTATACTAAAAATATAAACCTTCTCTGAAATTCTCCAAACTTCTATAAAATTCCCTAAATATTTCATTTTTTTTTTAAATTTTCATAAGTTTTCTGGGCTTTTCTGAAATTCTCTAAGCAGCTTAAGGTTTCTTAAGATTTCCCTGAAGTTCGTGGTGCTATCCTGAATTTATCAAATTTAACCATTACAGATCGATAAACTTCCCCGTATGTCTAGACTTTTCTGAAGGGACTGCCGTTAAGATCTTTCAGCTTCCCTGAAGGTCTCTAGACTAAGCTTCCATGAGGTTCTTGAAATATCTTTTAAGTGTTCACAATTTCCCTTTAATTCTCTGGATTTCGCTGAAATTTTCAGGGCTGTCCTGAAGTTCTTAGAACATCTTGAAAGTGTCTGCAGTTTCCCTGGATAGAGGCCTAAGATAACCTAGACAGTTAAGGCACAGCATTACCAAGCCGGAGGGAGCGGGTTCAATTGCCGGTCCGGATGAGGAAATCTTTTGGGTTGGAAATTGTTTCGACTTCCCTGGGCATAGAACATAATTGTGTTTATCACACAATATACAAATTTATGCAATGGTTGGCATATAAAGCTCTCAATTAATAACTGTGGCAGTGCATCTATAACTAAGTTGAGAGCTGGCAAAAACGTTCGCTACAGAAGCATAAAAAACCTAGAAAAAGCTAAATGTTTCCCTGAAGCTAATGGAACTGCCTTAAAGTGCTCAAAACTTTATTGATGAGCCTAAAATCCAACAGAAGATCCAGTATTACCACACTTTTATTTTTTTACAATTTAATTAAACTGTCCAAAAGCTCTCGTAATTCAACTTTTTCTCGGAACTTGAACCCTGAAGTTCACGAAATTTCCTTTATACTCATGGAACTACCCATAGTAAAGTAACTTCCCTTAACATCTTTAAACACAACTGAAGTTTTGGAAACTTCTATAAAGTTCCGGAAGCATCCTGAAGTTACTGGAACTTCCCTGCAGATCTTTGATTGCTTTAAAGTTATTGTTTTTTTTTTTAAGGTATTGAATTGGATTCACTCAGTCTATTGGTACTACTTCTCATTTTCCAGCAGATTTCTGAGGTTTTTTACTCATCGCTAAGTTCCTGCAGTTTTGGCGATTATAAGTTAACTAAACTCAAATAAGGGTCGTTCTCATTCGCCGTGTACCAACGCTACCGACGTCAGGGACTCGAGCAGGACAAAATAACTAATGAAAATATAATTCTGACCTGATACCAAAATTTGGTATAATACCAAAGAATAATACCAAAAAAATGCATGCAAAATACTTTGTAAATAACAAAAATTTATATTTGGATACCAAAATCATAACTGTGTGCTTTTGTTTTGGTATTGCATTATCATAATTTGGTATTGGAATGGTATTATGAGAACATTTTTTTTGGTATTTTACCTTTTATGTCAGGCTTATCAATACCAATTTAAGGTATCGAGATATTCGTTCTTGCTCGGGAAGGCAGCTCTCATACCTGGACCCTACCTATCAACCCATCACCTCATGGACAAGGGACCAACGGCTTTACTTCCCTTCTGAAGTGATCAAGGATGTTATGCGTCAGAAAATCCCAGCGACGCCGACTGGAATTGAACCCAGGCCCTCTGGGGTGAGAGGCAATCACGCTTAATACTACACCATTGGTGCCGCTAAAAATGTCACTTTGAAAATGACTTAACCATCGCTATCCGTAATTCTGAATGTTCTAGAAGTTCTAAGATCTGCACTGAACTTTTCGAAACTTTCTTTAAAGTGTTGGTATTTCTGTGAAATTCTGAGAACCTCTTGATGGATTCCACATTGCTTCTCTTGTTAAAATTTCTTGAAGTTATCGGAACTTCATAAAAAATCTCGCAATTTTCAAGGGACTCCAAACATATTTGAAGTTTCTAGACTTTGTTCTTGGAACATATATAAAATTCCTGCAATTTTTCTGAAGTTAATTGATGTTTTAAACTTTATTGAAGTATAAGGAAGTGCCTTAAATATCTCACAATTTTCCAGATATTCATAGAATGGCTCCGAAGTTCTCAGAACTTTCCAGAAGATCTCTGACCATTCCTTAAAAACTTCGAACTTACAATGAGTTTTTTGGAGATTTTTGAAGTTCTTGTAAAGTTCCAGAAATTATTATAAAGTTAATGGAACTGTCGTGAAATTCTCTGATCTACATCTAAGTTCACAAAATTATGGAACTATCCTGCAGTTCAAGGAACATACCCTATAAAGGTCTTTAAACTTGCCCAAAACTCTGGGCTGAAGTTTTTGAAACTTCTCTGAATGTTTCGGATATTCCCTTTCTTGTACACGCAAACCAAAAACTTATGACATTGAATGTTAGTTGCATTTCTTTTTATCCTCCTTTTTTGCCTTGATTTGTTTTTCGTCGATCTTGTTTTCCGTGCTGAGCACCAATGCTACCGACGCCAGGGAGGTAGCTTTCACAGTTTGACCCTACCTATCGACCCATCAACTCTTGAACCGGGGACAAACGGCTTTACTTCCCTTCCGAGGGAAGGCGTGATCATGGGATGAGAGGTAATCACGCTTACCACTACACCATCAGCGCAGCTAACTTGCTATCATCCTCCGCAGCGAATATCGCAGTGAAAAAGTTGACCTTGCAGAAGATGTTATGATTTTTTTATATATATAACGTGTTCTGTCTATGCTTTCGACTACTAGCAAGCATTTTATTTATAACATTGTAGAACGACGCACACACTTGCCACGACTCTCTCCAATTTCCGTTCAGCAGAAAAAGCATATGAAGTCGCTTCTTATTCGCTTTTAGCCCATCCGAAGCATGGAGAGAGCAGTGGAGAAATCACAGGTTTTAAAATCAGTCGACAACCTTTTTCTGTATATATATATATATATATTTTTTTACATGATTTATTTCACTCACTAGGGTAGAGAACTACTTCGGCTAATCGCCCATTTTGGGCCTATCGAGCAGAAAACTTCAAATAAATCCATGATTT